ACCCACTTCTATCAATCGAAAGGAGACTGCGACCACACCATAGGCCACAACATCTTGGTCTTCATATATTGAGTCATTTAAGTTCATCATTGTATATTCTCTCTAAAATAGATTTCTCAATAGTTGAAAAACGACTCAGTAATCAGAAAATTATTTAAAAAATATCGAGTAAATAATAATTCGGAGCAAATAAGAATTAGGGACAGTTCAAACATACAAGTCACATAAAAATTTTCTATAGAGATAAATATTCACGAGTAAAAAAGGCAAGAAAAATCGAAAAGACTTATTAAAATTATTGTCAGAAGGTTCTGGAGTAAGCAAGAGCATAAGTGCAAATCAACAACATAATTAATAATTTAATTTAAACAAGGCGCATCAGTGATTCAAAAAAGCCTCAATTGTTATAAAGGTAAAGCACGAGAGTGGAAGGACGTGGATGATAAAACAGAAGGCCTATGGTAGCTGATTACCACGATTTAAGTCTGATTAAGACAAGATTTGCAATGTTAATGTTAATGTGAAAACAATCCAACGAGTATTAATAAGACACAATAATATCAAACGGAGGAGAAAATGAGGATATTTTTAATTTGTACATACAAGTAGTATTGGAGATAAAGAAAAGCACTAGAGATAAGCAGGACATAAGGTGGCGAGTGACGATTGATGTTATTTCTCTTAGTGTAAACTTGAGTTCATTTTCGTAACTTGGTCTGAGCGACAAGAAGACGTGGAACATATCAAGTCCTACAACCTATGCCATAATATTCGTGATATCCTGTATAGGAACATTGACTTGGTATATTACCAGACGTTTCGTCGGCATCGTCAGTGAGAGGCACAGAGTTACAACCTAGCCCATTGAGCAATTAAGTGTTCAACCCTCGAAGGGGATGGCATTCACTCGTCACTTTAATAAGTTGAAATTATGTACTAACGATGGCGCCTCTTACAGACGACACCGACTATAATTCAAGCGAAACATGTGGGAATGCGCCAAGTCAATAGTCAGATTTTGCAAATCACGAATACTATGGCAGAGGGCGCAGGACTAGGTAGGTTCCACAAGACCTCCCTGCAGCTCTGACCAAGTCGTGAAAACGAGGACAAGCCAACAATATACAGCTAAAGGAGACTGCTACAACACAAAAAGCCACACAATCTTGGTCTTTACATCTACGATATTGATTCCCTTAGTTCCGCCAAAAGAT